ATTAAAATAACACATTATTACTATTCAGCTTTTTTTTTTTAAATTGTCATCACAACTATAAGTTCTCAGTGGAAGAAAAAAAACTATAGCGTAGAGATCGTAATTACTGTAATTACATAATCTCACCCGAACAAAGTGTAAAATTACCGTAAGCCAACTTTGGACATGTATAGAAAAGAAAACTCCTACACCTGCAAGTACTTGGATGGGTTTCACCATTGCGGCAAAAAAATAATCATGCACTCAAAAAATGTTTGTCTTATTCTGCAATTGCCAATAATTGTAAAAATAAAAGTGTCCGTTGAAAATCTCTCTCTTTTTTTTTTTTTTTTTCATGTAAAATTCAGTTCAAAATACAGTTTAGCGTGTAATTTATAATACATGTGACGTCATTCATAACAAAATTATTTACAGTTTCACCGACTTTTTCCAACACCGATACAACAAACGCACGTATACAGCACCATTTATGTAGAACAAGCTCATAATGTACGATTACATGCCCGGTCATGCCGCAATAGTGATCCTTAAACTTAACGCTATCTCACGGCTAATGTTTTCTTCACCAGCCCGTTGTTTCCCAAACAAGTTCATACATATATAGGTATATATACCCATAAGTAGGTATAAGCGAAAAAAAAGAGGAGTCCTCTACGTAGCCCGTATATACATACTCGTTAACGCAATAAGCAACAGCTGATCATTTATATCTCAGTGTCTTAGGCAAGTGTGTAGGTATATATGTATGTATATATATATACACGCATTTATGGGAAGAAAGAAGACCCGTGCGTTTGCGTTTTTTGCTTTTCCGAACGAGAGATACATAATCCCGTGGGGTGATGCGCTCGCGTGTGCCAATGTGTACGCGTATATATACGTATATGACGATGAGGAGGCACCCCGTGATCGTCGTCGCCTGTATACACGTACATGTATACGGTGTATACTTACGAGAGCGTAGTGTCGCTGGTCACCCTTTGTGTTCTTGTCCCCCTACCCCCGGGGCCTTACACCCTTTCGCCGCGTATGCAAATCACGGCTCGCTCGTTGTGTCTCTCACAAGCATTATCCCGTAAGATGGAAAAAAATAAAAAATCTTCCCATGGGCTACCGGCACTCTGTCGGGGCCGAAAGGCGCGATAAGAGCAAAAAAACACAAGTATAGGCACACACACACCCAGAGAGAGAGGGACGGAGGTGAGTCTGGTCGGTACAACATATAATGTATGGGGCATGATGGGCCTCTAGGTATATATATATATACGTACACCGATTACGGAGATGATGGGCAAGCCGTGCGATATATATATATATATACACACACAGCGAGGGAATCGGGTGCTCTCTCTTCTTCGGTTTCCTTTGTTTTTTTTGTCCACTCGTCGTACCTACTTAATTTATGCACTTGATGGTACACGGGTACGTTCAAACTCCATACCGTGGGCCCCACATACATTGCTCCTGCCACGTTTTTCAAGAGGTCGCGTGTGAATGCAATACTCACTTATTGTCCGAAAAAACCATTTGTTGTTTCTTCCATCTATAAGTACATGTTTATCAATGTAAAATAATATAGTCAATACATAATGTAACACGAGTAGTAGGTGTATCTGGGAAATTCGCCAAGTAATACCGACTGTAGGACGTTGCGTATTTTTATGAAAAAAACGTTTATCTGTTGACGTTGACAATTAATTGTATAATGCATAAACAACTCGGTGTAGTATTGTGAAGGGCGAATGTCCGAAGAGAATCGTCCAGTCATCAAGTACCGACGACGGTATGTATTAGACAAATGCTCCGAGTATGCAAATCGGCGTTTCAATTTGCATAATCGAAATGAGCCGGAGACCTGATAAAAGCAACGGGACGCCGATGACGACACGATGTAGAACAAAAAAAAAAAAAAAAAAAGAAAAAAAAAAAAAAAAAAAGGATAGAGACGAAGACGGGGTTACGGAAGGAGATGAGATAAACGGATGCAAAAAACGAGAGACAGAGCTTTGATTTTCACCAAGAGCGCATTTTCCCAGGCCTCGCTTGGCACGTGCGTGCAAGTGTCGGATGTATAAGTATACAATATATACTGTATGCACCTGCGACGGCCCAGTCGATCGTGCGGCTACGAGTTGAAAATTTGCTTTGGGAGAAAAAATGACAAAAAATTGAACGAGTCTGCCCCGAGCTCACGGACAGGAAACTCGTATGCCACTACAACTACAGCGGGGCTCTATGTGTGTCGGGCTGTCCCGGAGCAAAAAACCTCCCCGTCCGAGTGTACATATATATATATATAGACGTGCACGAGAGCGCGCGCGAGTGTATATGGTATACAAGACCCAAACGACAGGGAAGGAGCAGAGAGAGAGAGAGAGAGAGCCGGCCGGCGGCTCACCTGCCTCACTCTCCTCTCGCCGTGGGCTCCTCGAGTTTTTTACTTCCGCGGAGGTGCAGGCGGCAAAAAACTGGGCAGTCGAAAAAATTTAATATATTCACAATGTCCCTCTCCTCGTGGGAAAGCCACGGCAACTCTCTTTCATTTCTTTGCTGATTACTTTGCCTCCTCGTTTTGGCATTGCCCTCGACCCCCTCTGTATATATACGTGTGTATAACACTAATACGTCACAATTAATGTGCAATATTATTTTTTTTTTTAATTTTATCTGTACATGCAGCTTCCATTCGATTGTTTTGTTTTGTTCTATGGGATTTGTTGTTGCTTATGGGTCAAAAAATTGTTGGTAACATCAAGTTGTGTGTTTATTTATCAACCAGTTTGAAGCGTGTAGTTGAAATTTCGAATTTTGTAGAATACATGAAAATATAGTGTTAATAAGACTTGTATAAATAACAATGTCAACGATGGTTCATCTATTGTTATAAAATTGCCGACAATAGTGTTAATGTAAGACTAATAGATACGGCAAATAAGCCAGTGATTCGTCCTGGACTATTTCAACTGTAGACTTATAAATAATTTTTTTCCAAAACAATAAACAAAGGAAGGCTGTGACTAGACAATCCTTTGCTTTTTTTTTTTTTTTGTCTATATTTAATCGTAGATTGATTTGATAATTTTTACAACACTGATATGTACTTATTGTACAGAGTAAATGTGGATTCGCGCAATTAAAGTACTGCAATTTCGATTTCTCACGAATGATCCACAAAAGTATTTCATTATTCTTGAGATTGATCGGATACCTACATCGTGACAATTTTGTACCATCACAATTTAAATGACGAATCATCAAAGGGGGTTCTTTAAAATAAAAAATATTCAAATGATCGCAACCGAGAGTATATACTCTATCTATACCCTATCTCGCATTTGAATAAAGAAAAGAGTGAGTTTTCCGGTTGAGAGAGCCAAGAACGTCCTACCTATACGTATCCTTACACGCGATGGAGGGACCGCGTATAGGGTGTTCTTTGAAAATTCTGAGCTTTTTGAATGATACATCAGCCCGACGCAACCATCGTGTAATGTACGTCGCGAGAGATCTCGTTTGGATTGCGTTACGTGTATATATAGGTACATACACGGCAGAGTAGAGCAGAGGAGTTTGTAAGGACGCAGAAAGAGAGAGAGAGAGCCATTGAGTTAACGCGGGGAGAGCGCACGGAAGCGCGTCCTTTTTATTACTTGTTGTATCATGTATAATGTGTACATATATAAAGGTGAATGGCCAGCGCAAACAGAAATTTTGATACATTCCAGAGTGTGCAGGGCATATTATCGAGCACAGCTGGCCCCTGCACATGTATTTTGAATTACCCTCCGTGTGACAATACATTTCGGCCAACCCTGCCCGCGTACGTGCTCAATTATTCGCGATACCGAAAAAAAGGGACGTACAATATTTTCTACTCTTCCGTATGGTTATTTTAAATTTAATTTTTTACCTATGACTATTGGACAAAAATCGATACTTTAATGAAAAACCGGTAAGTGCCCTGTTTTTGATTTCCGATCGGCTTGAACGCGCGGTACATATACATATTGTGATGCACTTGAAATAAAGTTTTTCACCGATAAAACAACGAAATGCACGAAAAAATAATGAAAATATCGGAGCCGAATAGCGAGCAGCTGTAAGTTAAATTCCCTCCAAGAAAATCAAGCAGTTGCAGGGTATACTTGGGGGAGGGGGTTTATCGCAAATTTTTTTTTTTTTCCTTCCCTCAATATAGGAGTATAAGTACACATAGGGTACAGGGAGTGGGCGCAGAAAAAAAAAGTTGCAAGTGTATACAAGCGAGTATTGAGCCATCCGCCAAAGTATGGGTATACGTACGTACAATCTACAATGGCACGAGGTAAGTGTATATAGCAAAGTAAAGTAGTAACAACTACAGGGAGGAGAGAGAGAGAGAGAGCGGATGCGGAGGTGGAGAGAGAGACGGAGAAAGCCGCGGGCGGGAGATTTGTTTTTGCGGCGATTCGCGAGCGCGGGGGCATGATGGTGCAGCGTGTAATGTATATATACACACGTATCCAGTGGCGGCAGAACGGCGACGGCTAAAACCGAAAGTAGCGCGCACGCCAAAGGAGAAAAAGCATCGGCAGCCGAGAGGTTTTTGCAAGCCACCGCGGACTTGGTGTATATATATATACCTACGGAGATATCTCCCCGTCTCCGGGTTGTTTTTTGCTAGATTTTTCTCCCTCTCTCTCTCTCTCTTTTAGCTTGCCTGATGCGAACACTGATGCAGTGACTCACGTCGCCGACGTTCTGCTGGTGCTTCTTACTTGTAACTACTACTTTTTTTTTTGTTTTTTTTTTGTTTTTTCATTCTGGCTTTACTTTACTTTACTTTACTCGATATGTGTATAATAACGCGACGGACGCATAACGATAACAACGATGATCGGGATATAAATGCGAAAAGCCGTTGGCGTCGCGGTGTCCACTATTTTCAGAAAAAATAAATGAGTGCACCAAAGGAAAAAAAAAAAAAAAAAAAAAAAAAAAAAGGTCAGGTTCGCACTTACCGGTGCCGTTGGCGTTTCTACCAATGATCCTGGCTGTCTGCTGCTGGGGCGCCGAGACGATCGACTGGCTACTCCTGGGCGGACTCGGGAATACGTCAACTGCCGCGACGTTCGAGGCTGCGGTCGTCGCCGTGGTTGTCGTCTGCACGGCTGCCGCAGCGGTGGAGGTAGTCGTGGTTGCGGCTGACGGCTGGGGCGAAGGCGCCGTAGTAGCGCAGCTGGCCTCCTCCTGCATGTCCCTGGGGATGTTCCGGGGGACGATGACGGTCTGTCGCCGCGCTCACCTCGCGTCCGGCTGACGAATCGAGCGGCGGCGAGCACATCCGAGCACGAGAGCCGCGGCCGTTGCGCCAGTACAATTTGTGTCGCGTGCACGCGGATTGAGATTGTTTTTTCCGTCCGCTGTTGTCACGGGCATGCAACGACGTCAAGTATAATCAAACGACACACAACAAACCAGGGGAGCCAAACAAAACAACAATACTACAAGTGTACCAAAACGAGAGAGAGAGAGAGAGAGAGCAAAAAAAAGAACACACAACCATACCAGGCAAGCTTAAAATAATAGAAAAAACAAACAAATAATAAATAAATAAACCAAAACAAGTTTTCGGCGTGCAAGTTGAACAAACGAAAAAGTTAAAATTTAAAAAAATGTAGCGGTACTGCCGCGATAGTTTAACGACGGGCAGTGCGTGGGAGTGTGGGTGCGAACGAGGCGTGCGAAGCGCGTGGCTGTCGCTCGCTGTTGTTGCAAATGTATATGTAATATTCGCAAATCGTCGTTCTCCCGAGCAAAGAAGCGTGTGCTGCGGTAGCGCGGCGCGCAGTGGCCCCACCGGGATACTCTCGGGTTCGCTCTCCTCGAGGTGCCTTCGCCAACCGATCGTGTGTCATATATACATACCTACAAAAATGCCAGTGATGCCCCTCTCTCTCTCTCTCTCTCTCGTTCCTTCGGGTGGATTCGCGCGCGCGGTTTTCTCTCCCCCCACCCCTGCTCTCGTGTATACATATATCTATATATATATATATGTGTGTGTGTACAACATCCCTTTTGGCTGATCGCGCGCGCGGACTGTACCCTTACGCTCCACCCTGAGAGCGGCCCCTCGAGCCGAAAAAACGCCTGCCCCTCGGCGCGACTACGACGACGTCTCCCTCCCCCAGACGCAGTGACTCTCAATCTGCAACCCTTATACTACATACTGCAGCCTCCCCATGCATCCCTCTCTTCCTCTCTCTGTCTTGGGTCGGCGGGGTTTTTTGCCCAACATACATAAATAGCTTCTTTGCCGCCGCCTCCGTCGTCTTTTCAAACTCTACTCCTTGCAACAGTCCCAACTGCCAAACCATGCTCGCCCAGACTGATGCCAATTCCGTGCGCGTATATGTATACCTACCTAGCTATGGTAAGTAAGTACCACTGCCGTGATAACACGAGGTGTTTTTTTTCCAAGTTTTTTGGCATCGGCTTTCCTTGCCCTATATATATGTATATACATATAAGTAGCGCGGGGTAAGAAATTCACCAAAACAGAGAGAGAGAGACAATGGGAGCGCCCAGAGGCGAACGTTCCCTCGTGTGTATATACCTGCCTACCTCCTCTCGCCCGATCATTTTCGGCTTATGCAAATGCTAATTCATTTTTTCGCGCTCCCGTGCCCTAGGTGGTGTATACATATATATGTATATAGATACGTGCGGTGAAGTTTCGCTCGGCGAATCCTTTTTTTGCTCGTTTCGGGTCCTCCTCTCTTCATCCGTTCCCAAGCTTTCAACGTCGCATGTTTAATGTGCCAAGGTACGCTTACTTGCCGATCGCCCTGGCGATCGGTCCTTCGGACCGGTGTGTATATACATTGTTGTTTTGCACAATGTTGAAAGTATTTTTTAAACAAGAAGATCATCGATTTCGTTATGATTTTCCAAATCGGGTCGAGGAAACAATCAAAGGGGGTGATTGAGAATTCAATTGTCATTTTTTATATTTATGCTTTGTACAATTTATTCGAACAATACATGTTATATTCTGTCGGTACAAAAAAATTTTAACTATCTAATGCAGCATATCATACGAAGATTAAAAAAAACCCATTTCTTACGAGTGAACAATGTTTATTGCAGATTTTTTTTTTTTTTTTTTTTTCGTTGGACGATTGCTTCGTTTTGGCCGTAACTAACGTATTGTTGCGAAGCTTGGCGGAAAATCTATATTCTCTTAAAAAATAATGCGCTCTGTTCGTCGGTAAAAAAGTTAACAATATAAAATCTATTTAGGCACGTACTACATGCTATAAGAATGATCCAAAAAATATATGTATATATTTGTGTTTTTTCGTTCATTTTTTTTGTCTTTTTTTTTTCAGTGCATTTTATCGGCAAATGTGTTTTCAAGTATTTTCGTCGCTATAAACCCAACATTCGATCGGAAGTGAAAGCTCGAGCGGCAATTGTGTTTTATTATATATTTTATTCTTGTAAAAAAATTATTACTTTATTTGTACGATAAGAAAGCACTAATTGTCTAATTTTAGCGAGGTTGAGTAGTATATAGGTGTACATAAAATGTAAGCAATAAAAATTATACTTGTAAAAAAAGTGACGCTACAAAATTATTCTCGTCTGTGAAATTAATTAAAATATAGATACACACATTGTCACGTAAAAAAATACGCTGTCTGTCTTGCTCCACAATTACTACTTACAGTTGCATTATGCATTAAACTAATTTCAGCGTCAAAGTAAGTGATAAATAGTGTTTTGTAACTTTTTTTTTCTTTTTTTTTTTTATCAAATTAAACCACATAAATTTTTAAATTGAGTTATACACATAAATAATAATTCAGCCTTACGAATGATACCATACGTATTTTTTTTTTTTTTTTTTTTTTTTTTTTTATGAGAAATAAATAAAAAAAAAGCGCAGGTGGAATTTCAAGAGTTGATGGAGCGCGACATCGTAGTAAAAATCAACGCGAATCGAGAGTCAAAAGTTAAATGTGGCTCGTTAGCGGCGATAGTCGTTTAAAGTGTATCATGTGGAATAAATAGAGTCGGAATCAGACGCATCCGTACTCGTACCAAACCGAATTGGCGGTTTTGCGGTCCTTCTCGTTGGAGGAGTCGAGCAGGTCCTTCTCGAGATTTTTTGGGTCGTCCATGCTCTTTTTTGATACTGGCGTGGTCGTTATCGTAGACGTGTCATTGATGACGGCAGATACCTTGTTGTAGATGAGGAGTGGTCTGGGCTCGCTGTGCGACTGCGTCGTTTGGGACTGATACGAGGTCGGCTCGTCCGACTCGGTTCGCTTCTCCTGGCTCGTCGTGCGCGTCAGCGAGGGCGAAGTGTCGTCCGTATAATAAACGGTACGTCTGGTACCCGGGTGGGCCAACGACAGCGCGTCACCGGCCTCGAGACTTGGCTCGGCGCTCGAATCGTCGGAGCCACGCCTGCCCGGTTCTGTACTGCTGGTTCGACCCACCTCCTCCTCCTCGTCATCCTCGTCACCGGCGTCGTTATCATCCTCGTCACCACGTCCGTTGACTCTACCCTCCTCCTCTTCCTCCTCCTCGTCGGCGTTCACGTCTTCATCCTCGGCATTGAGCGAGCCGTTGTCGCAGAGCAGATTGGAGTTTGCGGTTCCCCAGGAGGCACGGCGTCCAGTTCGGTTGAAGAGACCCGAGCCAGCCTTGTACACACGGCGCACCAGGTTGGCACCGAGGCTCTTCTTCTTGCTGGAGCAGCTCTCTAGGTTACGGTAATGCTCCATAATCTTCTCCTCGAGTTTCTCCTTCTGCCGATGGAGATGGTTCACTCTGTCGGTGTACATCTTCTCCTCCATGTGATAATGCTCTTTGTCTTCAAAGGCAAGCGTAAGAAGCTCGTGGTACTGGTTCAACAGCAGCGACACGTGGTTCATCAGGGAGCGTCGGTCATTGTCGAGACCCGAATTCGATTGTAGCAGCATCTCGCAGCGCTGGTCGAGCTTGCCGAGCTGAAGCTCGAGACTGGCGAGCTGGTCATCCTTGGCGCTGAGTTCACCCTGCATTTCTGCCTGGCGCAGGCTCAGCTTGTTACTGTCGAGCTTGGCCTTGCGGTAGTCGTCCTGCAGGGCGCGGTACTGGGCCTTCAGGCCCTCGGTGTTGGTGTACAAGTTGCGGAAGTCTTCCTTGAGCTTAGAGTGCTCCTGGCGCAGATTAGCCAGACTCTTGGCGTTAGCTAGTAGACTGTCGCGCTCCGCCTGCAGCGCCTTCAACCGAGATTCGAGCCGTTCCGCGGATTCACGTAGGACTCTCGATTCGTTCTTCGCGTCGCGCAGTCCCACCTTCAAGCCCTCCTTCTCGCCCGATAGGCTCTCGTACTCGGATGCCAACTGCTCGTGCAACGACTGCAGCCGCTTCTGATCGTGGCTCAGCTCGGCGTGGGCACGCTGCAGAGCCCCGTGCTCGCTCGCCATCTCCTCGACGTCAGCTTCGAGCCTAGAGTTGGCCAGCTGTAGGACCGCCTGCTGGGAACTCAGCGAGTTACTCTGGGCCTCGAGCCGAGCCACCTGCAGCTCCAGCCTGGACTTCTCCGCCAGCAAAGCTTCCGAGGTGGCTTGGAGCGCAGCGACTCTAACATCACCGTCGTGTTCGCCCTCTGTTTTCTCGTGCTCGGTTTCTCCTTCGCGACGAGCGAGCACGCGTGCAGCCAGCCCCGGCAATTCGGCAAGTCGATCAAGGAGCGTATCCTCGGACAAATCGAGCACATCAGCTAGCTCGAGACCAAGTCGCTCGAGGGTAGTTGAGACGCGGCGGATGCTTAGCTTCTCGGCCTCGAGGTTCGATTGGAGACTTTCGAGGGCCTCGCGATCTATGGCCGCGCGCTCGTCCAGCTCCCGGCTCGAGCGCTCGACTTCGCGCAGCCTTAGGATCTGGGCCGCCGAGTCCCCAACTTCCTGTTGGATCTCGGCGAGCCTCTTCTCTAGAATCTCGATGGCGTTGCCAGCCTCGTCGAGGGCTACCTCCTTGCTTTCGAGCTGTTCGCGAAGCCGCTGCATCTCGGCACGTGCACTCTCTCTCTCCCGATCGAGTTCGGCGTGAATTTCGGACACCTCTTGGCTGAGCTCCTCCTTGGTTTTCTTGACAACTTCCAGATCGCGTTCCCGACTGGCCAAGGTACGTTCAGCGTCTTCGGCGCGACGCTCCGCGGCATCGAAGCGCTGGCGCTCCCGAGCCAGAGCAGCTTCGTGCGCACGTTCCAGTTCCGGGAGTCGCGCCTGCAACGTCTGTAGCTCCTGCTGCTGCTTGTCGAGGCTGGAACGTTGTGTCGCCAGGCTCGCTTGCAGTCGGCCATTCTCTTCCAGGCTCTGTTTGCAGAGCGCCTCCAGGTCGCGATTTTGCTGGCCCAGTCGTTCGTTGCTTTCGCTCAGAGAATCCAGCTTCAGTGAAAGCCGCTTGCGCTCCTTCTCGAGTTCCAGCAGCCGCGCCGAGCCTTCGTGAAGCGACTGCTCTTTGAGCGATTCCACGAGGCTGTTGAGCCTTCGGTTCTCTAGCTCTAGTTTGAGGGCTCGAGCTTGGGCACTTTCGGACAGCTGCTCCGAGAGTCGGCCTCCTGTTCCATCGGCTGGACCCTCGGACTCTGAATCCGAGCCCGGGGTCGCGGCTCCGGCGCCCTGAGTAGCCTCGGCCGCCACTGTGCGAATGAGGCGTTGCAGCTGAGCATTTTTCTCACAGAGCTCTTGGCAGCGGTCGCGCTCGGCTACGCGCTCAAGCGACAAGTCGTTGAGTCGCTGTTCGCACTTGAGCAGCTCCGACTCGAGTTCTAGTACCTTCTCGGAACGCCGGCGTGCCGCGTTCAGCTGTTCCTCCAGCATTTCGCGAGTCTCCAGCAGCACCCGATTGTCCTCGCGAAGCTCTTCGATGCGGCTTTTGTAGTACTCGATGTCAGTGAGCTTTTCGCGGTAGCGCGCCACCTCGGCCTCCAGTCGGTCTGCCTTCTCGGCCCGTTCGATCGCCGCGTCCAGCTCGTCCCGGTATGACTTGGCAGTGCGCGCCTCGAGTAGCAGGTCTTGGTTTCTGGAAAATGCACAAAGGGTGGGTTAAAACACACATATGGGTGTCAAAATGGAAAAAGAAACAAAAAGACGTGGAGGACGTACTCTTCGCGCAACTTTTGTAGGAGCGCCTTGGTGTGTTCCAGCTCCTCCCGAGTCTCGATCAACGCCTCGGTCTTCTCCTCGAGCTCCTGACGTTGTTTGCGCACTTTGGACTTCCAATCAGCCAACTCTACCGCGTAGCGGTGCGCCTCCTCGCTACCGCCAACGTTGCCGTCCCGGCAGCCTGCACCCGATGGTCCAAACAGTCGCTCGAGCTTGTTACTCATAGGTGAGGAGCTGAGGCCGATTTTTTTTGGTGTGGAGGTCTCGCGACCCTGCGAAATGGAGCTGTTCTGTGAAAGTAGCGCGGAATCATCGGCCGTGTCGTCGATGCTGCCGTCACCGGCGACCCTGTCATCTCTGTCAAGGTCGCAGTCACCACTGACATTGCTGGACAACTGTAGGCTCTTTAGTTTGTTCCAGTAGGCATTTCTCTCTTTCAGTAGCTTTTTCACCTTGCTGAAGACACTGCCCATGCTCACGTTTTCCATGGACTCCTGGGTTACAACGATCTCTTGGTAATCCGTCACTTGTTTGATGCAGTCAACTATTGCTAGCTGGGTGTCTATGTTCAACATTTTGATTTTCGTGATGAAATCTTCTTTATTGGAACACTGCACGGCACAGCCCAGCAGAAGCAGCAACAACAATTTCGCCTCCGAGACATGACGTTCGGGATCTCTTCCCAACTTGATGATATCTGGTACTGTGAGCAACAAATGACCCAGCTGCTCTTCGTAGAACTGCCTCATGTTGTCAATTATGATTTCCAAATTTTTTACTCTTACTTTGGAGTCTCCTCCTGATGGTGTTATACCATCGTGCAGTGGCTCGGGGTCGCTGTCAATTAAAAAAAAGAAAATAAAAAAAAAGGCATCGATGTAAAACTTGTTTTATGGCAAGGTAGTTTTTAGTAAACTTACATTTGTAGAAAAACATTGTGCAACAAAACTCCATCGACTAGATCGTCGTAATTGGTCAAGGCATTTGGATCCTCAAGGCAACTGATGAACTGTAAGAGAGAGAAAGGAGGCAGTTAACTCAAGGTTAGGAGTCATTTTGGCTTGTTGTTAATCGTGCATTCAGATATACGCAAGTAAAAAATACTTACCCAAGTGACAAGTGGTCCACAAAGAAACTCGTTGATCTCCGTAGAAGCCATTTTAAGGTTTTGCGTTAAACCGAGTGTACACTCTCGCCGAAACGCTAGGACTCATCATCAACAAGGAACATTATCAACAAAAGCTTTATATCTGAACGGGGAGTTGTCTCTTCGCGTGTTGAAAACTTTGGAATACATCGTCTCACATTTGTACATAGGTACGGGTTGTGAAATCTTTGGTTTCCACGAAACTAAGGACGGATATTCAATGCTCATTGCCTTTTTCGTTTCTCCTTTTGCACTTCATCGAGCAAAATTCAGACTACAACGAACTGCACCAGTCGTACACCAACTAACTCCAAAATGAACCAAAACAAGAAGAAAACGACAACAAATGCAATGTACTCTCGTTTCTCTCCTTATTCCTTATCCCTCTCTCCACTGACTCCAACTCCACTTTCGCTGTCCAATGTATATATTGTATATGTATACATTTCTAATGAGCTGTGCTGTGGATAAGTAAATAAATATATGCTTAAGCATAATAATAAAAGTAATGAATGATGCTTTTTTCACTTAAAACATTGCGGCAGAAGTGAAGTAGGCGCAAATCAGGCCCTTATTAGATATAATTTAGGACTCTGGTGTTAGGTTTTGGGTCTATTTGTCCCCTGAAGGGCTCCGAAATTGGAGATGTCCTGTTTTATCATTTATCAGTACCACTCGGTAGGTAATACAGTTTTCCAGACGCTTTTTTTAAGTTTATTTGCTCCCCGCACAGCTGATCGGCAGACTCTCCTTTCAGAGTGCAATATTTATATTTAGTTTTTTAATTTTAATGAATAAATAAAGGGTATTTCTTACACACACTAAAATCATATTNTTTTTGTATAGACTGGCTTTATAAAAGCCTTTACTAATTCAGCCTTAGCATTTACTGTGGGTTTTGCAAATGTGGAACAAGTAATGAAAAAACTATATGTAAAAAAATTGTATCTATGGCCTCGGTTTCATAAAATTGTTAATACTAGCTTGTCAAAAGTTAAAGTAAGTTTCATGAAATTTTTTTAAACAATAATGAAGTGACAAAATATTTATTTAACACGACGATTTCTAGCCTGAAGTTTATGAATTACATGTGGAACTAACTTCAAAAATGATCAACATACAAACAAGACTACTAGATATTATGAATGGTACACTTCAAGAGTTGAAGAGACTTAATAAATATGTATATATTTTTACCTATAGCATTGTATATTATTAACTCACTAATTACATCTTATAAGACATATTTTTTAATTTTTACAAATATAGCTCGATTTGGAAGAATTGACTGTGGAGAATGCTGTTGGAAAAAAATTTCTTAAACAACTACAGCAACAATTGGATCCTATTTGGAACCAACTCTGCCCTAAGAGCAAGACATTAGTATCAGACTTGAAAGATCAACGATATCTTTTAACGTATGCATCACATTTTTTGAGACTAATTTAATTTTAGTCTTTTTAATGGTGCTTGGTCTTTTCAGATGTTTGATGCATCAACATTCTGTATCTTTTTATGCCACACTTGCAAAATTTAAAATAATGGATTATGTTAAGAATTGTGGTGGCTGGATTTTGCTCGACCTTTTTGAACAGCTGGATAAGAGCGCCAAAGAAAGAGTCTACTCTGAGAAAGATGGTTGGTTAAAAAGTGTTACAAACCATTCATAAAAATTTGAAAGAATCATTTAAAAAATGAAAATTTTTAAAATTTTAGTTATGAAGCCAGAACTGGACCCCAAATGGTCAGCTTTGACAGAAATACTCTCAGAAATTGGTTATGATATTAATAAAAGCAAGAGTAAGGCTCCAGAGAAAATTCTTGTACTCACTCAAGATACTAGAACTTGTGCTCAGTTAAAAAATTGTTTAACCATGGGAGCAAAAGAATATTTATTGTATGAAGCTATGAAAAAATTAAAACCAACTGATATCAAAGATAAAAAAAAACCAGAAACTCGGTAAGTTTTTTTTTTCAAATTCCAAACTAAAATTACATTGGTGTACAAGAATATTTCATGAATACTTATTTACTCCTTCAGAGTGCAATATTTATATTTAGTTTTTTAATTTTAATGAATAAATAAAGGGTATTTCTTACACACACTAAAATCATATTAACAAGTGCAGATTTGCAGTTTACTCTAGCGATGTTTTTGTAACATGAGTAAATTTTTTATAATTTTATTTGTTAGTGTAAGTCAATGTTGTGGTTATTCAAACGAATTGACATTTTACCAAAGTATATTTTGTGTAAAATGTTAAGCTATTTTGAAAACAATTGGAAATGTAACTTCTGATTGCAGACATACTTGTCAAGTGTCAAAGGTTTAGAGCATCTTTTGCACTATGTGATTGATGATGTTTCTGCTGGCTCTTATAAATATTACAGTCTTGGATATGAAGGCCTGGTGAAGATCAAATTAACTACGCAGTAAGCAGAAAGAAATTCGTTTTAAAGTCACATTATGCTCTTAAAAAAAGTTGAAAACATTTTCAATTATCTTTAAGGTTTGGGGATGCTGATATTTATGTTTCAACTAAAACAACAAAACCAACTTATGAGCCTGATCAGTACTGTTTACAATCTACGACTTGTGGGGAGGATATAGTTTATTTACCTGAAGAGTAATTATGTTTTTTTTTAATTTTATGTTAAAAAATTATTTGCACTCAGTTCTAATTACTTTGCTAAAATTTTATTTCAGTTTTAAAAGACCAGTTAGTATTGGTGTTTATGGACATCCTTCTCATGAATCAAGTCGTTATACATTGTTAGTGTATCAAGTTAAGGATGTAGATAATAATTTTACAGAAAAAGATTCTAGAAACGATGATCTGCAAGATATTTATTCAAAGGTAAACAAGTTATTTAAGTGATCGAGATGATGTCGTGGTTACTATCTTTGATCCTATTCTATTTTCCAGCAAGACAAGACTTCCTATATTATAACTCTGTTATGTTCGCTTCTTCAAATTCTTGAGATAGTTTTTTAGAATTAAATATATTCAAGATGTTGGAATACGAAAATCAAATATTTTTAGAAATACTACAAGAAGATGGATTAGTCGTTGCAGCAAAGTAATTTTTCGAGATAAAATAGATAATGAATTGGAATTCACATATTTTGCGCACAAATATATTTTTCGTTGCTTTTACAGAGGTCTTGGATTAGAAACTATTTTTATGAACGTAATAAAGGCCTACTCTGACCCAGGTCAACTTGTTTTAGTTCTTAACACTAGTGACTGTGAACAGCAATATATTATAGAACATTTGAAAAAACAAGGTGTTAAGCATCTACCTAAAGTCATCACAGCACAATATCTTTCAGAAGACAGGTTTGATTTTGCAATAAAGTTCTTTGCCATGTGTAACAATATTCTTTATATTCAAACTAATTTGGATTTCAGAAAGGATACATATGAAGATGGTGGGGTATTATTTATAACAGGAAGAATATTAGTGGTAGATTTGTTGAAAAATCGAGTTCCAATAGAACACGTAAGCGGAATTCTTGTGTACAGAGCTCATTCAATATTAAACTCGTATCAAGAGGCTTTTGCTTTACGACTTTTCAGAAAGACCAACAAGGTTACTCAATTTTACTAACAGTGTCAGTTTTATTTAAAAAATTTAATTAATTTTAATTCGCTGTACTTTTTTTTGTATAGACTGGCTTTATAAAAGCCTTTACTAATTCAGCCTTAGCATTTACTGTGGGTTTTGCAAATGTGGAACAAGTAATGAAAAAACCTATATGTAAAAAAATTGTATCTATGGCCTCGGTTTCATAAAATTGTTAATACTAGCTTGTCAAAAGTTAAAGTAAGTTTCATGAAATTTTTTTAAACAATAATGAAGTGACAAAATATTTATTTAACACGACGATTTCTAGCCTGAAGTTTATGAATTACATGTGGAACTAACTTCAAAAATGATCAACATACAAACAAGACTACTAGATATTATGAATGGTACACTTCAAGAGTTGAAGAGACTTAATAAATATGTATATATTTTTACCTATAGCATTGTATATTATTAACTCACTAATTACATCTTATAAGACATATTTTTTAATTTTTACAAATATAGCTCGATTTGGAAGAATTGACTGTGGAGAATGCTGTTGGAAAAAAATTTCTTAAACAACTACAGCAACAATTGGATCCTATTTGGAACCAACTCTGCCCTAAGAGCAAGACATTAGTATCAGACTTGAAAGATCAACGATATCTTTTAACGTATGCATCACATTTTTTGAGACTAATTTAATTTTAGTCTTTTTAATGGTGCTTGGTCTTTTCAGATGTTTGATGCATCAACATTCTGTATCTTTTTATGCCACACTTGCAAAATTTAAAATAATGGATTATGTTAAGAATTGTGGTGGCTGGATTTTGCTCGACCTTTTTGAACAGCTGGATAAGAGCGCCAAAGAAAGAGTCTACTCTGAGAAAGATGGTTGGTTAAAAAGTGTTACAAACCATTCATAAAAATTTGAAAGAATCATTTAAAAAATGAAAATTTTTAAAATTTTAGTTATGAAGCCAGAACTGGACCCCAAATGGTCAGCTTTGACAGAAATACTCTCAGAAATTGGTTATGATATTAATAAAAGCAAGAGTAAGGCTCCAGAGAAAATTCTTGTACTCACTCAAGATACTAGAACTTGTGCTCAGTTAAAAAATTGTTTAACCATGGGAGCAAAAGAATATTTATTGTATGAAGCTATGAAAAAATTAAAACCAACTGATATCAAAGATAAAAAAAAACCAGAAACTCGGTAAGTTTTTTTTTTCAAATTCCAAACTAAAATTACATTGGTGTACAAGAATATTTCATGAATACTTATTTACTCCCACAGCCTTAGAAAAAATTCGTCAAACTCTTCTGAATTTACTGAAAGTTCCGAAAATACTGAAAGTACTGAAAATACTGAAAATAATGAGCCTGAAGCTACCACTGAAGATGAAAAAGAAGAAAGTGAAAGTTACGTATTAACTTTTTCTCAAAAACCTCAAACAGATCATGAAGAATCTGATCTAAATTCTGAAGATGAAATCAGCCCTAGTCAACGTTTTGAAGAATTTTCCCAGGTACAGAGAATTTTGAAATTTTCAAGACACCAAGTGATTAGTCGCGTTAATTAGTCTATTAAACTGTTCTTCATTAGCTTGCAGATTTAACTTTGTCAGAGTCGTTACCCAACGAACCGTTATTGATAATTCAATCAGTTAAAAAAGGTGGCGATTCTATGTCTCTGCAGCAAACTCTTGAAGATACATTGCCAAAGTACGTCATTATGTATACACCGGATATCTCAGCTGTTCGACAACTTGAGGTCTATTTTTTTTTTCTCAGAAACAAGAATAACAAATTATTAATTATTTTACGTAGTAAATGGGAACTTTCAGGTGTATCAGAATAAAAATCCTCCTATAGCTTTAAAAGTCTATTTTCTTCTTTATGGCGGATCTGTTGAAGAACAAGTTTATTTAACTTCTTTACGGAGAGAAAAAGAAGCTTTCGACAAACTCGTCGCTGCAAAAACTGTGAGTATGGTACTATAAAATTTATGAAGTAATTAAAAAAATAATCGCATTTTCTAGACAATGGTTATTCCTGCTGAACAAGATGGTAAACATTCTGAACCTGAACCCACGTCTACAGATAAAGCTAACGAAAATGAAAGCACGCGTAAAGGAGGACTTCAGGAAGATCAAGTTGTTCCTACGAACAAAGTTATTGTGGACATGAGAGAGTTCAGAAGTGAATTGCCATCCTTGCTGCATCAACGCGACATAGAAATTGAGCCTGTTACATTACTTGTGGGTGATTGGTCAGCTCTTGTTTGACTTTGATTAATAGAATCAAAATTTGAAATATTTTCTTTCAGATAGGGGATTACATTTTGTCACCAGACATTTGTGTGGAAAGGAAAAGTATTTCGGATTTAATTGGATCGCTAACAACTGGCAGACTTTATAATCAAGCAGTTGCAATGTCAAGATATTATGAAAAGCCCATGCTTCTCATTGAATTTGATCAAAATAAAACTTTTGGATTGCACGTAAATCTCTTGTCTTGCTTTCTGATTCTGACATCAATTTTCAATACTTCCCTATTAAAAATCTTATGATTGTACACAGGGAAAATACTTTGTTAGCAGAGGTATGAGTAGCACTGATATAACTAATAGATTGATATTGCTGACAATGCACTTCCCGAAATTAAAATTGGTATGGTCACCAAGTCCTCATGCAACTGCACAACTTTTTGAAGAATTGAAGGTACCAAATGCATAGTTTAAGATAAAAAAATTATTCAATCGTTCAACTTAAAAAAATTCATGTAAATTTTTAATTATTCAGCTTGGTCGACCGCAACCAGATGGAACGAAAGCTGCGCAGATCGGGTTGGATGACGATACGGATGATAAAACTCTGATGGCTGAAAAATATAATTGCCATATTCAAGATTTTGTTGCAAAGTTACCAGGAATTCACTCAAAAAATTTACGTAGGATTCTGGACCGTGGTCAATCACTTGATCACTTGATTTCATTGAGCATGGTAAAGCACGTTTTTAGTCTAAAAAATGTACATAAAAACTTCTTTTTTTTTTTTTTTTTTTTTTTCTAAAACAAACACATTTTCATAGGATCAGTTGTTACAAATAGTAGACAACAAAAATGATGCAGAGTTGTTGTATAGCGCACTCCATGATAATCCAAAAGCACATTCAAGCTCAAGTAATTCAGTCAAAGCAGCCACCTCAAAAGTCAAAAGCAGAGGATTGTTTTATAAGAAAAAATAGAAAAATCATAACAATGTTTTTTTATTAAAAGTTGTGATGGCTGCGGATTTTTTAATGATGAAAAAATTTTGTACTACAAAATAAAGCAACAAATCAGAGTTTTAAATAAAATGTATTAATTACATAATTTTCAATTTGATTATTATTATTTGCTCACGTTTTTCATAGAAAAGATTATATACAACAACCATCTTTAAAAGACATCAAAATAAGCATCGTTAGTTATCGCTATCACTGTCATCTGTATCCAAATTATACAAGAACGAATCACTTTCAAACATTGGGAAATAGAACCTGAAAAAATGAATTAAGTCAGACAGTGTTTAAGAAAAATATTTCCTTTCAATTAAAAACAATATAAAATTTTTTCACTGGTCTACTAACTCTGGTTGATCCCACGTTTCGATTGCTGGTAATTTGTAATGATTTTCATTTCCCATGTGTAAATTAATGTCTTCCGCTTTTGTGTCACAATAAATACATCTGTTAGCATGAACTTGTTTTCTTATATAATTCACCATCTTGACCTAATCAAGAGTGTATCATTAATAACTCTGTAAACTAAATGATATTTGTTTAAAAACAGTAAAATTTTTACTTACTTTTTGATAAAATGTAAATTGCGCACTTATATCAATGAAGTCAAACTTGTGTTGATCAATCATGTGTTCCAACAACTCGGAAAAACCGTGCCAACTCTGTGTACAAAATAAACAATTAATGTCAATGCTTTCATTATTCCAATCTGACCAGTCTTCATCTTCATTTTCACTACTGAATGCAGAAGAATTTTCTGTCTCTACAATAGGCTCCTGTTAAATAATAAAAAAATTAGTGAGACACGAGGTGACATCAAATTTGAGTGATCTACTTACAGGTCTTGTAGGTTTTCGTTTTACTTTGTGAGTAACATCCAACGAATAGTTAGATACATAGTATTTGTCATAAGTTTTATTATTAGGATTAACTTGTTTGTGCAATTTTTTTCGCATGTGTTCTTTCAACACAGGACGATTTTTAAACGTTTTTTCACAATATATACATATGAAACTGTAAAAAGAAAAATAGGTTTATTGTTCAAAAAAGTTTTAATATATCTTAATTTATTAAAGCTATACTTTTCTATGTTATTCTCTATTCTGTCAAGGTACTCGTCGATAAAAACCAAATTTTCTGGTTTTCCAAGCAAAATATTGTGTTTTTGATAGAGATGTGTTACATATTCTATACGCGAGCCTGAAAACTCTGTTCTGCAAAACATGCAGCCTCTCTTGAATGTGGTATCAGATCTCTCTTGAACTTGTTGTGCCAAAACCCACTCCTACAATTAAAATAGTCACTTTCTTCATTGCAGATCTGTCATTGAAATTAAAAAGTGCTGATATACCAATTTAGCTTGTTTCAATTCATATCTGAGAGTCTTATCCTCCATTAAACAATCTGATAGTAAAAAATAAAATTCATCTTGATTCGTAGTGTTTTTCGGGGTTACATCTTTTTTATCCATGTAAAATGTTGTACAATATGTAGTTAACAGTTGTCCTTTAAATTTAATTTTCCAATAACGAACATAGCTGATGGTGGAATAAAATGTTTTAATTGTTGCAAAAGAAATGGTAAAATCAACACTTGCAATACTGTACCTTTTTAAACTAGCAATTTTGTCAACATCCCCAATCACGAGACGATGTTCATTGAACAAATGTAAGAGAAAGTCGTTTTCGTCGGTAGGTAAAATAAAAGAGGATTCACACAATAAACAAGCTACGTCGCAGGGCTCATCATTAATATCGTAAAATTGCGATTTACCGTACTCAGGTGGCATGTTTGCCACACTCATTTTTTTAGATCTTAATAAGCCGCGGTGACATGGGGCATACCTATATACCTAAGCACGAGCAAGAACAAGTATGAGTGCACAAAAACCCGTACAACAAGTGCACGAAACGCGCGGCGTTACCACCACGACCTACGTAACTTGACAGCCTCTGATTTTATCATTCTGGTAAAGAGAGCACGGTCTAAGATGTACGTGAAGTTATGTGTAGTAATTAAAGTAATTACTACTAAGTAATGCCATATGGTCGATTTTATTAAACCATATGAAAATCTATATTTTTGGAGGTCGACTTTTGGGTGAAAAAAAATTGTAAAAAATGTAAACTTAATGTAGTGATCTGTGT